TGGTAGATGCCGCGCAAGTCTGCTAACTAATTCCTGTAAAGGCCACCGTCTCTGCGCCGTGGGACAAACGGTGGACATCGTCGAAAATGGCGGTTGAACTGTTGTAGTGACTGAAATTGTTGAAGGAGGGGGAATCAGAAATGCGACGTATAATAACAATAAAGGTAGTTGATGGGTGGTCACCGATCGGTTACAGAACTCCCTCGTCTCGTTGTGCCCTAGGGCTCAATCTCGAGCCCCGCCAACAGCCACTCAGTGGCTGGCCTATTCTGGACATGGCTGGCTGATGACGGCGAATAAGCCAGAAATTGCCATCCTGGTGTCCACAGTTTTTGTCGTTAATGTCTTTCAGCCAACAAATGTAGAGTTAGTGACCGTAGTGTTTATTATTGTTGCTCCTCAGAAGTGGAGTAAACTGGTCTTGTTGGCATTGTGATCTTACACATGTTTATTCAAAACAGCTTTCTTGCTTTAACTCGTAGGGTGTACTATTTGTTCGCTCGGCTGCCAATGACGTAAAATCTGGCAGTGTTTGTGTGTGAGAACGTGTCTAAATAACGTCTGGTAATAACTTCAAGGATTCAAAGAGGCCGTAGCCTGCGTGAAACCCGTTTTGACTTATGGTCATGAAACTTGACCTTTGAGGGGTAGGTAGTGTTGATGCCCTTGAGAACCACTTTCAACTTCGTGTACACTGAAAAAGACCCTTAGAGGTGTAACACAGTAATCGGTCGGAAACGGATATCCTTCTCCCCCTCGCCTGAACAATGATGCAAGATTCGTTTTCATAAATCCCGCTGGGTGGTAGTTGGTTGCGGATGATCCGCCAGAAGGTGCCTGTGAGTGGCTGCGGTGCGGGCATCCAGGAAGCTGCGTTCCAGATAGGGCCAGTGTGGAGTTTATTAGGAGGGGTTTGACAGATTTAAATAATTCAACTTGGGTGGCCTCTGTGGGACTTGGACCCACGCCAGCAAGGGGAAGGCGTGAGTGCAGCCAATGCTCTGCCACCTGAGCTACGAGGCCCCACCGGGAGCCGTGAATTCACTTACATTCGGGTCGATCTACCTGCCCAGCCTATTGCAACGTCAGGACTCCACCTATACTGATACATTAAGCTGACTG